CCAAGGAATTCGCGCGTCGCGACAAGCAACCCTTCTCTGTCTTGTGGAACGGTGGGCGATCAAGAGGTGGTCATTGCTACATAGCTCATCATCGCTCAGCGGGTTACATCATCCTGATATTACTTCTCTCGTGCGCACTGGTCGTTTCAGATGCGTGTTTTATGACGTTATATATTTCCGTATAAATGGCGACTGTTCGCCCACGTGGGTCTTCCCCGTTAGGCGGATAGATCGGGTTTTTTCTCCTACTATTTTTACTGAGTGGCATTTGGCCTTTCTGACCTCGCCTCTCGGTAATGAATTCTCAATGCGGGTAGTACGGCTACAGGACTTGGATTCTTCGTTCAATGATCCCCATCGAAGGACCAGGAAGGAGCGCCACTATTGTTTTTGATGACAGCGATGAGTTCTTCGATAAATACGGATCTTATGAAGACTACCTCGATGCGCAAATCACCGAAAAAGATACGTAAGAGTACAGTTTACCATGTGCGACAGATGCCGTTTCGATCTGTGTTTCATTATGTGGATTTTCATCAAGCCTTGGAAGTCCCGTCCTTGTATCCGCAGATTTTACCTGGGAGGCACCAAACTTGCGCGTCAGCTTGTGGAGCTTGGTTGTAGGAGAGGAGATGTGCGGAGAACCACAGTGATGTCTGAGTTGACTGAATCTACTTGACTCCAGGTTATGTCTCGGGATGAGTTCAACGAGAAGCGCGAAGCCGCGGAAAGGGAAAAAAGACGTCAATTACAAGGCATGGTTAAGGTCCGTTAGAGGCTCCACTGCCATGCAGTCGGCAGTGATGAGACACCGGAGAATTAGGTACTTGCCTCTGCGAACAAGGACCTCACTGCCTACCCCACTCTGAGGTCATGCGGGATTAGGGTATACATCACGAGGTTGACTGTCAGACACTTGGCAGCTAGGGAAGAGATGGCAAGGAGTGGAAAGATCTCTTGTATCATCTTCATCCGCGATAAAAACTCTAAAGGGCAGGAAATCAGCGGATACATTGACTATGGTCACAGACTGAGGACGGATGACTTCGAGGCTTACTTCTCAAGTAGTATCTTCCCTTCCAACTTGTTCCGGACTCGATACGAGCGAACCTTACATATCATCGTCTTCCGAGATTGGTGCTGCGAACCATGTGACAATCAGGAGAAAAACGTATACTACCACGGCCCACTGACCTGTGCTTCTACAACTGGGAGACTCAACGATGTAGGACCACTCCCAAGATCTTCGAATTGAAGCCACACTACAGTATTCAATCTGACAGGTACAGCCAACGAAAGTCCCAATTTCCAGGTCCTCCCGGACACAAAAATGGGCCTGTTATTCAGGGTGAGCTTCCACTGCGTGGTATTCGAGGCAAGTATGAACGTGTCAGAACAAGAGAGATCGGAAGCTGATAGATGTCAATCCGGAACGTGATCCTGGAGATAATTCGGAACGTCACGACGTCACGTGAGAAGCTTGGGTGGCGGTTAAGTCACTTCCTGCTCAACTCAGGACAAGTGAGTACCTCCAGGTAGTTTTCTTTGACCACATGCCCAGAAGGAAAGCATGAAGTATCGTTGGTTCATCCGTTCCTGTCGAGTTACTCAGTGTACAGCAACGTGATGCTCAGAACAATGAGTTACTCAGTCATATCATGTAAACCTTCATATTCGAGAACATTGAGGGAACTATGTGGTGGGGGAACCAGTGGAGTGCTAGTGCACTGAGTTCGAGCAAACTTGCACATGTGGCCCCTATTACAACCCTCTGCTCCTTCTGATCAAACTATTCACAAATCTATTCGGAGAATGGGGCCGCTATGCCACCGGTTTAGAGTTCCCAGACGCGAGTGAGTACATTGAGCCCTTGGAT